TACACTTTGCATACTGTACAGTTTACATACATATTTGCTGCTTTAGCTTTAGACATTTATACAGTACGGTTAAATATTGGACATCTATTTATAAAGGAATTGAGTATTTGTCACAAACTCATAACTTCTACTACCTATATCTTTGCAATCCAATTATGTAAACCTTTAATATTTCAAACTATGATTATTTGATCTAACACAATCAATAGTTTGAAATATCAAAGGTTTACAACATTGGATTGCAAAGATAAAGGGATTAGAATATCAGAGTTTGTGGCAAGATAAATATGACAAAATATGCATTCTTGAAAAGCTCTTGATTAATTCAGATTTGCCAAAAATTGGTTCGCAAAAATAAATTCGCACAAATAATAAAAAACATGGATTTATAAGATAATTAGTTATTTTGCATTTCTTTACTATTTTACTATATTTTTAGCATAGCCAAGAATAATGGTAGTGGTTTAACCTTAGACTTTTGTATTTGCAAAAATTGCAATTTTGCAAACTAGTCTTTCCATTTGGCAAAGAAAAAATATTTTGCTAGATACACAAAGGCATTAAAAAATGCGTTTTAATAGAACAGTCTCCAAATAAAAATTGTTCTAAGTCAAATTAAGATCCTTCTAAATATGGCGCGCACTATAGCAAAAATTATCATATTATTAAGATCAAGTATACCCTTCTTAACAGACTTTTCATAAAAGGTCGGATACATTTTCATATATTACTCCAAAACCCTGGAAACATTTCCAACACGCTGAGAGCAGCCACCCTCAATTTTTCTACCAGTTTTGCAAAACAGGAATTTTTGCCAATTTTTGTATTTGCAATTTTTGCACTTTTTTTGGCACAAATCCAAAATATTTCATACACATGACATCTATATATAAATTTAGCTTGTATTATAAATTTCAGAAAACATTTAACCTGACTATTTAAAAAATGAATAAATATTTTAAAATAAAGAAATCATTTTTGCAAAGTGTTGCACAAATTATGCCAAAAAGTTGAAAAATTGGCACAAGTGTATGCTGCTGGCAAAAATTGGTGTCAACATATATTTTCAAAAACTGAGCAAAAAATCATTGCAAAAATTTGTAAAAAATGTTGCAAAACTGACTGAAACTAATTTGGTAATCATACTATTCTTAGCAGATTTCCAAATATCGTACTATTGTTGAATCAACAAAAGCACTGCTAGAGGAATTACATATTTAGTATTCCTAAAATTTTTAAAATGGGATTTATGTTAGTCTAGTCATTTTTTGATATTCTTCTGTTGTTGTATATCGTTGCGCAATATTGCGCGCATCACTGGGGAATTTTTAATTTGATCTGCGTTGCGCTCAAACATTAGTCTATTAATTGCGTATTTATATAAAAATGTATACAAAAAAAATGCGTATTTATGAGCAGTATTATGTCAACCATGTCAGGACAGAAAATTATAGAAAATCTGCAATTCCATAAATTTAAAGACTGCTGAACTAATAATTTATTTTCAACATTGTTATTAGTAAATGATAATCATTATTTATGTTATCTCAATAAAGTATTATTTTTTTATTTTATTTTATTTATTGCGCGCAAAAAATCTACACTATAGAGTATAGACTACAGATTTTTAGCCATCTTATGCATTCTTACTTTCTTACAAACGATAAGTTATATTTATTTTTATTCTAAAATTTAATATTTTCAGAATAATAGAGTTGATAAAAAAATTCTACAATGGTTTCTAGGATAAACATTGGAATTTATAGACAACTTGAATAAATTATCAAGATAGAGGGGTTACATAAAGAAATAAATATTTCAACCCCAGTCCATATTTTCTTTGTATCTTATATAAGAATTGGAAAAATTGACATTTCTGGATTTAATTCATTTCATAAATTTAATAGGAGTAAATTATTACTATAATGTGTTTACGGAAAACACCTCAGGGTTTAAATTCAAAATAAATGTCGTCAATTGACTTTCATGTTAATTGGGACACCCTGTATAAAAGAAACATTTACCATCAGGCGTTCATATTGTCTTTTAGACATTAGGCTGTGCTCTGGTCAAATATATATATATACATATATATATCTATATATAAATTTGGCTTGGGTGTCTGTTTGTTTGTTTGTCTGTTTGTATCCAATAAACGTCAAAACGGCTGAATCGATCGGGCCCAAATTTTTTGTGGGACATCTAGGGACCCCAGGGAAGGTTTATGAATCATCAAAATTTCAAATATTTGTCTCCATCAAAATTTGGTCGTTATTAAATTTTAAAAATTTTGAAAATCCGCGAATTATTTTTGTTTTGTTTTACGATGTACACAAAGAGAACATGTTCACAATTAATTTAGAAGATGGGCGCGAAGCGCCCTCTAAGGCTAGAAAGAAGGGCGCGAAGCGCCTTGAATTTCTAGTTTATATATAAATAAATCTGAAAAATACATAATCTGGGACCACCGTGTGTTTTTTTCTGGAGATATTCAAAGCTTGGAAATGGAATATCTGTTGTCCTTTTTGATAAATAAAATCAAAACAAATCAGCTTTAGAAAAAAAGCTCACCCCATGCCTGCTTATACATTAGCTGTATGTAAACAACTGTATCTTTAAAGCAATTAAAGCTGCAACAATTCCTTTTCTTTTTTATTTCGTAGTATCATTTTGTTCTGTGGTTTGCAACAAGAGCAAAGTATCGCAAAAACATTTGCTGTACGCGAAACCATTGCAACGTTTGACAAAGAAAATAGAAATTGCGTGGGAACCCTCTGGACAATGTTTAAATCCCTATAAATTAAGATTTGGTCATGTTTTCAACGCCATTTGGATTATTTTTCTAACCTAATGAGAAACTAGAAAAAAAACACAAGGATGGATAGAGTAGAGTCAAAACAAGAATGTAATATGTCTTCACGAGCGATAAGTATAGAACTGGTGTAAAAATAAAGATATGAGCGTTTATTGCAGTTTTTATTATATTTGTAGATATATTAGTATAAACGATAACAGTATTTTCATTCTTTATAATAGTCCTAAGTTATATTTACAAGGACATCTGTCGTTCTTTTCTATAAATAAATTTGCAACAGTCTTCTTAAAAGAGTTGTCTGATAAAGCATGAATTAGAATGTTTTTATTGTTTAAATCTCTTTATTTTCATTTATGATTTCTCTGCAAACGCGACTTGCGCATTTCTTACTTATAAGAAAGATTGAGCCCGCGATTTAAAAGCTTCGGCTCGAGCCGTATTTCCTTAAACCCGACTTTAAGACCAAATCTGAAACTCCACTCTGACGACAGCTTGTGTCACGTGATTGACAGCTGCAAGGTCTTCGGCTCGACTTTAGAAGTTAGGCTCAATGAAAATAAAACCGACCTTGGTTGGTTGGTTGGTTTCAGTGGAGAATAACGGTTCAGTGTTGAGCCTTGCTTTCATAAAACCCGGAATGCGCCAATTCCTACCATGAAAATCCGTCAAATAGAATATTAAACCGGTTTTTTAACTGAACTCTGTGGAAAATTAGATGCAGCTTGAATCCGAAAGCTCAAGCAATAAATAAAGCCCAACGACAGCTTAGACCCGAGCCGTATTTTCCCGAATTTTTAAATCGTGGGCTCTTTTGATTTAAATTTTTTGATAAATTGTCAGAATTTAACACTTTTTGAGTGAGAAAGTTATTTTCCACATTTGTCTTCAGATTAAGGTATCTTCAGGGGTACCGTTGTAAATCTGGCATATGCTATCTTTGCATGAAGGGTCACTTTAGATTACACGTACAATCCCTTAAATCATTTTTTTTATATTTTAAAGAAATCTGTTTCAAGTAGTACTTGTGTCTTATTTGAGTATTTTTCGCCATTATATGTTTTAGTAACATTTTTAAATTTAAAGTTTCCTTTTTTAACCCCACCCCTCCCTAGCTTCTCTCTCTCCTTCACAACGTCGTGGAGTTCTTTTATTTAGATTATCCAGAAGGTTGTTATAATAGATGAATCTTCGTGTTTTACGTTACACTATAAAATAAAAAATGTACATGAAATTCAGTCAAATCCGTCCATATTTATTGTAGATATTCTTAAACATTTTTATTCCGAAAATATCGATTAATTTAAACATGCGAAATAAACCTAGTTTTGTTCTAAGCCTAGCTACGCCTTCCAGTTTCCATAGTTACCAGAGAAAGGTTTGTTAAACCAGGTATTCTTAGTATATCATCGTAACCTCTCAATACAATATAATATTCCTTTCCTTACTTTCAGCTGCACTTAGAGGCTTGTTCCTGAACATTTTATTGTACCATAGTGTTTAATTCTTACATGGAAAAAAGCTCTGTTATTACTTTACAACTACTATTTCTAATTCATCATGGTAGTTATTACTACTGATTGGATAGTTTGTTGTTATGCATGCGTTTGGAGTTACTTAGTGAATAGTTTGTTGTTGTGTAGTTCATTTGTTGTTGATTTACCTTGCATGTGTTGTTGTTGATATGTTGTGGAAGTGCTGTTGTTACGTATAAGTGCATGTGCAGTTGTTACGTAGTACATGTTTTGTTGTTACATAATGTATGCGCTGTTGTTGTGTTGTTGTTCCGTAGATGTTGTTTTGGTGTTACGTAGTCAATGTGTTACGTAGTGCATTAATTTGTTATTACCTAGTTTATGTGTTGATATTCCTTAGTTGCTATTTTGTTCTTACATAGTGCATGTGTTGTTGTCACGTTGTAGGACTGTTACTTAGTGCATGCAGGTTGTTGTTACCTAGGAGTTGGTGTGTTGTTACTTAGGGGTTGGTTTGTTCTTACTTAGGGGTTGGTTTGTTGTTACTTAGGGGTTGGTTTGTTGTTACTACATGGGTGTTGTTGTTGATAGCACGGGTTGGAATTTGTATTTCCAATACAACTAAAATTTTGTTAAAAACATAAAATGTTTATGAATGAATATGGTAAAAATATTATTAACATTACATTTTATGATATATCTAAATCAAACCAGTTTACAGATATAATCTTCTGTAAGATGTAAGCTGGACGGCACGAAGCAAAATTATGGAGAAATACGAAAACATCGGACTTATAGGTGATTATAGATAAATCATATAAACAAGTCATTTAATTTATATATTGTACAAAAACATAAACAAGTTAACATAAATGCCAAATTATAATAACGTATAAAACACAGTCTGACAAATTTTAAAGTATTAAGTAATAAGAACTATGAACTATCAAAAGTGTTTTTTTATTCAGAAAGACTATTAAAGTATGCACTGGATACTGTGTAACTCTACTGGGTACAATGTAATTATGCTGGATACTTATAACTTCTACTGGATACTGTGTAACTCTGCTGGGTACTGTGTAACTCTACCGGATACTGTGTAACTCTACTGGGTACTGTGTAACTCTGCTGGATACTGTTTAACACTACTGGATACTGTGTAACTCTGCTGGGTACTGTGTAACTTCTACTGGATACTGTATAACTATACTGGATACTGTGTAACTTCTATTGGATACTGTGTAACTCTGCTGGGTACTGTGTAACTTCTACTGGATACTGTGTAACTATACTGGATACTTTGAAACTTCTACTGGATACTGTGTAACTCTGCTGGATACTGTGTAACTATACTGGATACTGTGTATCTTCTACTGGTACTGTGTAACTTCTACTGGATACTGTGTAACTCTGCTGGGTACTGTGTAATTCTACTGGTACTGTGTAACTTCTACTGGAAACTGTGGAACTCTACTGGGCCCTGTGTATCTTATACTGGGTACTGCGTAACTCTACTAGGTACAATGTAACTATACTGGGTACTGTGTAACTCTACTGCAGGTACAATGTAGCTATACTGGGTACTGTGTAACTATACCGGGAACTGTGTAACTTTAGTGTGTTCAATGTAACTATACTGGGTACTGTGTAACTCTACTGGGTACAATGTAATTTTACTGGGAACAATGTAATTATACTGGGTACAATGTAATTATACTGGGTACTGTGTAACTCCACAGGCTACAATGTAATTATACTGGGTACTGTGTAACTCTACTAGGTACAATGTAATTATACTGGGTACAATGTAATTATACTGGGTACAATGTAATTATACTGGGTACAATGTATCTATACTGGGTACAATGTTACTCTACTGGGTACAATGTAACTATACTGGGTACCATGTAACTCTACTGGGTACTGTGTAACTCTACTGGGTACAATGCAACTCTACTGGGTACAATGTAACTATACTGGGTACTGTGTAACTCTACTGGGTACAATATAACTCTACTGGGTACAATGTAACTATACTGGGTACAATGTAACTATACTGGGTACTGTGTAACTCTACTGGGTACAATGTAACTCTACTGGGTACAATATAACTATACTGGGTACAATGTAACTATACTGGGTACTGTGTAACTCTACTGGGTACAATGTAACTCTACTGGGTACAATGTAACTATACTGGGTAGTGTGTAACTCTACTGGGTACAATGTAACTATACTGGGTACTGTGTAACTCTACTGGGTACAATGTAACTATACTGGGTACAATGTAACTATACTGGGTACAATGTAATTATACTGGGTACTGTGTAACTCTACTGGGTACAATGTAACTATACTGGGTACAATGTAACTATACTGGGTACAATGCAACTATACTGATGTAACTATACTGGGTACAATGTAACTATACTGGGTACTGTAGCGCAATAAATATTAGGTTACTTCAGATTTAAAAGCTGTCCCACTTGTAGTCTGATATTATATACTGGATCAATACTCTGCAATTAATAATAACTGTTAATAATAACTATAAATAATAGTAATGATGATCATCATGAAAATCAAGGACATTTATTTAGGCGAGGGATCTTATGGGGTTGTCACAAAGTGCAAAAATAGGGATACAGGGCAGGTAAAATAGAAATCAGTTTAAACTGAACATTGAAATTATATAAAACATTTATGATATAATATAAAGTAGTTATGTATTAAACATGGACTTAGTTCGTTTACTTTTTGAGCACACCTACTTCATTTACTTTATAAGGTTTGGTCTTCGATCATAATCAAACACCAAAGGAATTGAGTCTTTGTCAAAATTCTGATTTTTTAATCTCTATATCTATGCAACCAAATGTCGTAGACCTTAAATATAATTTAAACTATGAATTCTGATAGATAAAATAGTCTAAGTATGAAATATTTAAAACATCAGGTCGCATAGATAAAGGGATTAGAAAATTGGCGTTTGTGGGAAAAGGCTTTAAAATAAAATGAAAATGATTGAATATAATAATGTTTTAGATTGTCGCGATAAAAAAGTTTCTTGAAACTGAAGACGACCCTAACGTGAAGAAAATTGCTCTCCGAGAGATACGAATGTTAAAACGATTGCGACATGAGAACTTGATAAACCTTATCGAGGTAATATTGTGAAATTAATCCTTGCTAAATTCATGGATCCTTGCTTGATCCATGTTTCTAAATGTTCTGAAATGTTTCTGTTTCTAAATGTTCTGAAATGTTTGTTTCTAAATGTTCTGAAATCTTTCTGTTTCTAAATGTTCTGAAATATTTCTGTTTCTAAATGTTCTGAAATCTTTCTGTTTCTAAATGTTCTGAAATGTTTCTGTTTCTAAATGTTCTGAAATGTTTCTGTTTCTAAATGTTCTGAAATGTTTCTGTTTCAAAATGTTCTGAAAATTAAAGAACAAAGGAATTGAGTCTTTGCCACAAAATTCAAAGTTTGAAATATCTAAGGTCTACGAAATTGGGCTGCAAAGAAATAGGTATTAGAAAATTACAGCTGGTGCCAAAGACTCAATTCCTTTTTTTTAAGTATTTAAATTTATGAATGATACGTAAATGCTATGAAGCTAAATTTATCATCATTAAGACAATAATTTTACGGTGCATTATGATTGATTTAGACAAGTTTCATAATTCCGAATTTAAATGAAATTTTATCTTCAAGATATTTAGACGGGGTTGGTTGGANGGTTCCCTTTTCCATTTCTAACAGAAAAATCTTAGAAATCGAGTGAAGGAGTGAATTAAAATTGATTTTTATCAAAACAATAATTTTTCATTGTATATAAATAATTTCAAGTAAAGATGACATTCATTCCGTAATAAACGGTTTAGTAAAACATAACTTTCCGAAATAAACATTTTTCATTATTTCATAATTTGATTAATTTTCAAGGGATTATTACGATTTTAACGTTTTTGAACTCACAATTTCAAGACGTGTATTTTAAAAAAGAATAAGACAGTTGCAAGGTATTTGGGCATTTAAATAGAAAAATAACAATTTTTAATTAATTTCTTTTTCCAGGTGTTTAGACGGCGACGAAAATTGTACCTTGTATTTGAGTTCATGGATCATACTATTCTTAGTAAGTAAATATACTAAAACTAGAAATATCTATTCAAATTTTTGGTCTATATTTTAACAATCTTTAAACTTACGGATTTGTTTATTTAATACTATTTATTCAAAACGTATATGCCGGCAAAAAAGTATTTTGTAAAAAAGGCTGAAAAACTATGTTTAATAGGACAAATTGTGATCGAAAGTCACAGCTTTCTGGAATATTGACAGAACCGTTAAATTCACGTGAGCGACCTTCTATTTAAAATGTTGCATCCGAAACTTGATTATTTCTTATTAATTTGTGAAGAGAAATAAATACGAGTTAAAGAGAAATTAAATCTTTTCCTTCGGAAATATTCTTAATCCGATAAAGGGTTGAAGTGTACAGTTGTGAATCGGACATTACATTTAATAATAAATAGAGAGGCTGCAGGAAAGTACGTTTTAAGCAATATCTTAAATAAAAATATTGCTTCAAACTCTACATGAAAATAGCAGGAGTTGTGCCCTGTAATCTGTTTGTATATATATATAGGTGTATAGTATAGTATTTTCAACTTTTTAAGTTTAAATATACATTTTAATTGTTTAAATATATATTTCTTCCAAGACAAATGTTTCATGGGTCTAACCCAATCATTAGTTGGAATAAAACTGATACTGGAGCATTTTTTACAATAATTTCACGGATTTTTACAGAATAAGATAAAAATTGTTTTACATTTAGTGATAAATATTGTTTTACTTAAAAAAATCTCTCGTTTGCTGTATGTCTGACCATAATTCATCAACCCTGGCCCGATTTGCCTCAAATTTTAATTGGGAATCTCGGGAGAACCATGGGAATGTTATTAGCTAGGTTTTAAGATTTCAAGTTAAGTGGGTCGAAAAATAGCTAAAATCGAAGTTTAAGACCAAGTGCGGGTAAACGGAGGTACTAACTTTGCTTACCCTGGGCAACACTATTTTTAGAGTATCCATATATAGTAGTAATCTCCGTTTGTTTGTTTATTTAAGTGGGTTAATAGAGAAAGTTTTGTTTCTGGGCAAAGCTGGGTTCCATAGCTATTAACATTTTAAAATTGTTTAAATGTCGTCTTCATATTCGTCAGTTTTCTAGTTCTCACTGTAGTGTTTGAATTTACCTGGTTTATTTGTTTGGCCATGTCTAGTCCTGACTGTGTGATACAGTACATGTTCTGAAGAGAATAATATTAACAATTCCGTTTCTTCAAATAACTTCCTATTTAAAAAGCGTGCCCCATCTACAACGGAACCCTTAAAACAAACTTAAAAATTGTTTTAAGGCTTTTAAAGTTAAAAAACGTGAATTATATCCCATTCATATTTTCAAAGTTAAAACGTGCATTATATCCCATTCATATTTTCAAAGTTAAAACGTGCATTATATCCCATTCATATATTCAAAGTTAAAAACATGCATTATTATAAAAATAATTATTTTTCAACATGAAAAAAGGTATATCTCAATCATCCTTCATTAGACAAAGATTTAAAGAGTACCGATGTTAATCTTATTAAATGAAAGGCCTCTTTAATTACATCTTCCTCCCTTTACAACCATCAACATTAAAAAACCTTTCTACCTGTTTCCTATGAATCCATCCGTGTCTCTGCAAACTGTTAGGACTGAAAAAAAAAAATTCGAAATAAATCTAATTGAAACGTTAAAAATTGACTGTTAAGTCAAGATATTAATAGTCAAATCTACTGGTAAAACTGCTTGTTTTCAAATATCATCAAGATTACATGAATATCGTCTTCCAAATCAACAGTTTTATTTTATTTTTTTAATACATTTTTTTTTATCACCTGAGGGCTGTATCAACAGCGTCCTTGGTAGGACGCTCCAGTTTCCGTAGTTGACAGAATACAGAGACTTGTCTCTGTATTTCTCTATTCTTCATGTACTCATCTCTACCCTACACAAACGTTAAATGTGTTTTTTTTTCTTCAATCGACTCGAGTATTTGAGAATGTCCAACCTAAAAAGATCTTGGACATGTAAATGAATTTTTGTAGTCCTTCCTTACCTAAAGGACGCAACAATTATAATTTTCGTAGTCCACCTAACCGAATAGGTATATGCTGTGATTTTCGTTTAAATATGCAAAAAATCATTCGGCCAAACCCCCTTTACAAGTTTATTAACACTCTTAAGAATCGGATTCAATTGTGCCTACATTTAATAGACTAAAATCGTCAAGAAAGTTGATAAAATGTTAATTACTTGATAAATGCTGGCCAGAGCTCGTAGAACAGATCCAGGACCACTTCCGGGCTTCGGGGTTCCGGAAACTTTAGGTTTATGTTTCTGGGCCTTTGGAGGGGAACTGGGCTTACTTATTTCAATATTAGGGATTCCACCTGGATAAAGGTTAGATTTTCTTTGTTCCACATCCATTTGGGGATTTTTATCCTTGTAATTCTGTAGTCTTTGAAGTTCCGATCTTAATTCCTCTAATACTGTAGTTTTAACAGCTGACCTTTCTTCCATTTCTTCCATATTGTTGTAGTGAAAACTTCGGGATCGGGATCTTCGATACTTAGAACTCCCGGATCGGGATCTTTGCGATTTAGAACTTTGAGATCGGAACCTTTGTGATTGAGCACTCCTGGATCGGGATCTTCGAGACTTAGAACTCCGGAATCGGGGTCTAAGTGATCGAGAACTCCGCGATCGTGATCTTAGTGATTGAGAACTCCCAGATCGAAACCTTTGTGATTGAGCACTCCCGGATCGGAATCTTCGAGACTTAGAACTCCGGAATCGGGATCTAAGTGATTGAGAATTCCGGGATTGTGATCTTAGTGATTGAGAACTCACAGATCGGAAACTTTGCGATCGAGAACTCCAAGATCGAGATTGGGAATTCTGGGATTGGGATCTTCGAGATTGAGAACCTCGGGATCGAGGACTATGGGATGTTTGAGTTCGAGAATTTTGGGATGGCAATCTTTGAGATCGAGAAATTATGGATTGGAGTCTTCGAAGTTCCAATATAAACTCATCTAATTCAACAGTTTCATCCAATGTCGTCTCTTTCATATTGTTGTACGAAAAACTTCGGGAGCAGGATCTTCGAGATTTAGAACTCCCTGATCGGGACCCTCGAGATTGAGCACTCTGGGATCGATATCTTCCAGATTGAGAACTTCGGGATCGAGTTCTTCCAGATTGAGAACTCCGGGATCGAGATCTTCCAGATTGAGAACTTCGGGATCGAGTTCTTCGAGATTGAGAACTACGGGATCGAAATCTTCCAGATTGAGAACTTCGAGATCGAGTTCTTCCAGATTGAGAACTCCGGGATCGAAATCTTCCAGACTGGATACAACAGTGGACTTTGCTGCTCTAAAGTTTCAGAATTTCTAACCTTGTAATTCTTCTTTGGATACAACAAGGAACTTTGCTGCTCTAAAGTTTAAATTTCTAACCTTGTAATTCTTCTCTGGACATTGGACTTTGCTCCGCTTCAATTTCTGAATTTCTAACCTTGAATTCTTCTCTGGATACAACAGTGGACTTTGCTGCACTATAGTTTCTAAATTTCTACAAATTCTTCTCTGGATACGATAGTACACTTTGCTGCACACTCTTCTTCATCATTGTATGTCCTAAATACAGACAGTTTTAGTTTTAACTGTCTGAATTTGATATACATGGTGTCCCACGAAACATGACAGTGGAAAAGCAACTTGAAGGTCGTCTTTGATCTTTACAATTGTTTGCCGCATTCATTCGTCAACCTACAACCCTGAAACAATAATCACAAACTCCTGGTAGGAACAAACGTATTTTGTGATTAACTCAAGAATTACTTCTAAAATAAGGTTTACGAATAAATGCCGCAGCATTTTTCAAAGATAAATAACGAACTGTAAGTTGTCTTGCTACTGTCATGTTTCGTGGGACACCCTGTATTTCAGATCGGGTGTCGACAACTTTTAAATAGTCTAAAGTTAACAAAAGGTTAACTGCAGACGTAAAGTGACCCTCCATTTGTGAGTGACATGTCCAGTTCACAACTGGTACCTTAAAAGCTTTTCCTGATCAAGAAAAAATAAGATATTCATGATTTCCCTTCAAAAAAGTTTTTTTTTCAATAATGATTTCTCTATATAAATTACTAGCGATATTCTTGCTAAAGAAACAATGAAGAAAATTGTGAGAATAACTATTTACAAAGAAAAGCGATGATATCTTCCATATTATTGGTCACATAACGGTTTAATGGTACCGTTATGAATTACGCATGACCCATTGGGCCTCTCAAATGAGGGGTCACTTTAAAGTGCAATTAATATCTACATTTAAAGTTTTACACAAAATCATTTTGACTAGAATTTAGATTTTTAATATTTGTATTATTTCTTTGAAAAGTTTGAACATAGGTTTTACAGCGAGGAAGGTAAAGAAAATACAGAGTTAAAATAATACAAGTAGATCCAGGGGCGGATATAAGGATTCTGTAGGGGGGGGTAAATATTTTTAATTTGGCGCGCGAAGCGCGCCGAATTTTTTTTTACCCCCCC